GCTGCTCAAYATAATATTATTATCGTTGAATTGTGTTAAAAAATATCACTAATAAATTATGTGATTACGTTAAAATTATCTTAAATCACATAACGTTGAAAACACATATTGACAAATATTTATAATTATATTGTTCTCTTTTCTCTGACTTCTTTAATTTATGTGTACACTTGGTTATACACGCAGGTAGAGAAATAAATATAACTTTAAGCTATACTGTAACTAATTCTCTTTTAGGTAGGTACCCATATATTCATATTATGAATTATAATTTTATACATTATGCAACTGTACGAAATTTCAATAATAGGTATGTGTTTAATATTATATCATGTACTTAGTATAATATTATAAAAATTTCAAATGTAGTGTTTTGATAGTTTCTTTTTTTACCAAACTTTCCGTGATTTACCGTGTCTGACATATATAATCATATACAATATACAAATTATAAATAGGTGTATACATATAATACGTTTAATATTCGAAAATTATGACGGAGAACGCGTTAACAACTTAGAAATATTAAAATCCATAACCGTAGGTAGGTATTATAACTTTATAAATTAAATTATTATTATATAACAGTTTTTGATTCTCGTATAGGTACCTATTACGTTTGTTTATCACGTCCAAACAGACAGCATATTACGCACAGTTTATTGCATACATATTTTATTATTACCACGCATAAATAGAAACCATGACAGACACGAATGGTATCCCGATTTTATCGATAGCATTAATATCATTTATTATCTATATAATCGATGGTTATATATAATAATATAATACCTATATGTCATATGAGCGTAGTAACTTGTGACATAGGTACATTTGGTTTATTATTTAATTTTATTGAGCATTGATGCATTCCATTGCAAGGTTTATTAAGTTCATTGTATTGTACATTTGAATACAGTATATTATAATGGTAAAAACCCGAGGATGCATATAATGCCACGCCYGTTTTGTAATATACAAAAATATAACAATTTGAAATGTTCATAAGTCGCTTAAAAATTTAAATATTATAACAATACTATAAGAAACACAGATAATTATTATCTTTAGGTTTTATAATATGTCAATTCACTACAATTATAAAGTTTACTAGGTACCTATWCATGATTTAAACAACAAACACATGCGGCGGATTTGGCWTACTACKAAATAAATTTATGTGTGCCATACATATTTGATTTTTGAATGTTCAATCTGTTAGAAATAAATTAATGTAACTACGTTCATTTTTTAAATATTACATCATATATTTGTCAGTAAAATACAAGCATATAAATATAGATACGTACATATTTCATCATCACACTTAAATAATAAACGATGATAATAACATTTGTCAATTCACCAATAATAATATTATAGGCGTTATAGGGTTGTGTTCTTTAAAATATTTTGTGTACCTATATAGTCACCTTCGGCGTTTAAACACACCTTTGCAAACACCACATTGTCGTCATGCGCCCCCCACAGATATTTTTTTCTATAAATCAACATTTTAAATCCCGCCCAACGCCGGCAAAGACCACATCTAGCCTACCCTTTTAAGCCGGCTAAGCTAGATCCCACCGCAATGTTGGGTTCTATTATCAGTAAGGTTTGTGCACCAACGTAATTTGTCCTGTGACAGAATTGATCTCAAATGTGTTTTTATGTGTAAGGGGACGGAGGCCCGGTGCACTATTCTGCACGCGAAATCATTGTACAYGCGTAACAATAAGTTTTATAGGTTATGTTAAGCATGAAATCTCGTTGACTCGTTTTGCGTTCATTGTTTCGATTGCATAAGTCGACCGTAATCAAAAAATACGTTTAGATGGATTTAACTTTTTTCACATCCTAATAAAAATTTGTTAGAATGTTTTTAACTGCATATCGTCATATCTAACAGTTTCAAATAGCTGAGTACAATATATAAATAATATAATAATATCGACTAACGTTTTAGGATCGATAAAATTACAACAAATGTATATTAGAAGCTAGAAAATATWATAATTTATACTTGTACAGTTGTACACAAACGTTTTAATGCCTATAGATACTAAATCTATGGATACTTGGGGAAAAAAATTACACTTCATACACTGTATATATGGCTTATTGCTTACTATGATTAATGGGGAAAAAACAACCAAACTACTTAGAATTGAAGCCATTTACGATCTGTGATTGAAAACTTAATTTAGGAAGGTACCTACCTAACTACTCTGATTCATTATATGTAGTTACTTACGAAATAACGTCGTCCTCGGTATTTATACTGAATGCAGTATGCATTTAATGCAATTTGCATTAACGAAAATCCACAGTATATTATTTTTTTAATTAAGYCACGATTAAACTAGAGTTATAAGTGTTTATAATTTCCAATTAGGTAAWACCTACAAATCGACAATTGTATACATTTTATAATTGATAATAAATAAATAATTTTGAATTTTTTTGTTAAATTATAAAATCCTTCTCTTACTAGGTGCCAACTTMGATGACAACGCGTGTTTTCGCTTTTATGTATTAATTATAATAATTATCTTGATACTAACAGTGAGGTCCGTATAAAAAAATTGATAAATATCAGCACTGCATAATATATGATAGTATATCTACCTAACCGTGACGTCCGTAACAACAACAACGTGGGCGCCAGCAAATTAAAAAAAAAAAAAAGTATCAAATACTATAATAACGTAATAAGATCTATCTCTATGTATACGCATCGCCTAAATGTGCTATTATATTTTATAGCGCATATTAATATGTAGTGTGTGTTGTTACTTATTATAGGTGTAAYATACCTACACAATTAATGGACATTATATCGTTAACAACAGTGTGGGCGTGTGGCACTTGAACGCTGAAATGAAATTTAATCAACTAATTAGGCATACCTTGGTACTAACTACTAAGATATTCAAAATAGATGATGACACTTTACATAGGCTACTAATGTTATTATAGCTCTGTGTTACACATTAWACTTTACACAAACGATAATAATAACGTTTGTGATGATTTTAAATTTTACTGTACTCACTATTCAGTGATATTACTGCATTACTTCTACAACCTGAGGGTAAAGATTTTCCATTTCCATTCAAATATTTTAAAATTACCGTTTCAAATTTCTAATGACTTATAAATGCTTAACATAATTTATATTTTTCTYGTATTTRTAGTTCTTATCCCTAAYAYGATAATACTACACTAATTACAGGTACCTACATATGTAGAGCGATTCCTTGTGTTATGGCGATTGATCATTTAGTATTTTATCTTTTAACTAATTATTCAAATTTTAATTYAAGTATTTATTACCAACCTATATTTTAAAAGCATAATTTAAAATACTTGTCCTGTGGTAATTTAGTATTGCTTAAAATGAAAACTGCCTACTTTTTCTATAAATTCAAGCACATGTTTTTTTTTTTTAATATTTAACATTTTGATATAAATAAAAATTAATTGTTTTTTATCGATTAAACTTTATGCGGCAAGGATAATTTTTAAAGTCGATTACAGCCCATAGCATTATAGTATCGACAATTTGAATCGTAAACAGTATATAAACAGAAAATATATATAAAAATGCGTTGATACAAAATGTTTTTAAAAGTAATCGTTACATGCACGGCTGCACCTGCCTGCCAGTGGCCCATCTAACTCCAAGTTTGTTTTTAACGTCGATATACACTTAAAAGAAAACTCGATTAGTCTTTTTGCAGTAGTTTAGGTGTTAAATGTTCATTGATAACATTAATAATACATTCGAATTTATTATCCAGACGATGAAATGTATAATGTACCTACTAGATATCTATATCTAATGAAATTAAGTTGGTGACGCGAACGATATATAAATATATAAGTATCAATATTTATATAATAATTTAATTATAAATAAAATATATGAATAAATATACCACGCCAGATTTTATGTAATTTTAAGTGATTTTCAGCAATTTATTTGTTTAATGTTTGTTATTAATTTATAGGCAGGTACCTACATTACAATGCATGTGGCAAAGCTGGGCAAGTTAACTTTTTTTTTTAAAACTCATCATTAAATTAAATTATTATAGAAAAAATGTAAGTTAAGTTTTATATTAAAATTTTATTTTATTTTTTTWWYTTGTCGAAGTAACTTAGTTATAATTAAGTTATTTTTTCATTTAAAATTAACTTTTATATCCACATTTTTTTAGCTAATAAATAACAAAGTAATTCAATAAATGTCTTACAATTTTCAAATAAACCTATGAAACAAAATTAACTACTGTAGACACCTATTTTAATCAATGACGAAATCGAATAATATTATTAGATTATTTTTATATATTTGTTTACGTAATGGTCCACAACTATATTAAATATTATAATTTATAAGTTACCATCAAATTTATTATTAAAATATAACTGAAAGCAATTTTAAACTACAAATACTAAATTGAAAAATAATTTTTTTAAATAGGTACCTATTAGATGTAGGTAGTGCATATACAGCCTTTACAAGAGAATTTCAAATATTGTTTTGTGTTTACTACAGCCCGGACAAATCGCGTGGCTTATTTAAAAATAAAAATTAACTTACGTCTCGCAGTKATAAATCAGATGAACTACAGATTTGCATTATTTTCACCGACTGGTTAGGTTTTCGTAGTAATTCCACGAATAAATGAAAATATAATAATAAGTAATAACTAATAATGATTACGTGACTAATGAGAATAAACAGGTGTATGGGTGGGCCAGCCATGGCTATAGTTCACCATTCTCACACCCTAAGTTTCAGCTGTAGTGCATATTATATACAGAAACACAGTTGATGTTARTATAATATAATAACTTGGCAATCGGTGGGAAAGTCATAAGTTATTATTAAATAAAAAAATGTATAAACATAATGGTATTTACCTGCAGTTTGGTATGTAACCTTAGCACGCCCACTCGTATTAAACGTTCTCATTTTATTGTTGCAGCAGACCATCGAACCAATGCAACGAGCAAGTGATGCACCCGAATCGCTTTTGTAATTGTTGTCGCTGTCGCTGGACGGCGGTCAGACTGTAAGTCACACATACGCTTATAGTGGCGCCGTTTCACGTTAGTACACGAACGTACGAACGGACAAGTGTGAACGCGGGTTGGACAGCAAGGCGGACCGCATTACACACGCGTTGCACATGATGATGATGACCAACTGTCTGCAGCAGAGCGTGTGTGCAGAAGCGGCGGCCATGCAGGCGATGGAACTGCACCGCCGAAACAGCCTGGGTGGGGGTGAAAAGTCTGGTCGCGACGACGGTTCGACTACCGAATACAACGACGACCGAGTGCAGCCCACTTCCGGCGGCCGTTTGAACGGTTCAGCCGAGCGTCCGTTGAAGTTCAGCATAGACAACATATTGCGACCGGAATTCGGCGGTGGCACCGGAAGCTTAGCCACGTCCGGTGGCAGTCCTCCGACGGTGTTCAAACCGTACGACCACCATCACAGATACTACCATCCCCATCATCACCATCTCCAACAACAACAACAACACCTCAACCACATCGACCGTCTGAACCACCTAAACTATCAACTTCACCATCTCAGCCAGCTCAGTCACAATACCGCGGCCGCTGTCAGTGCTAACACAGCGGTCCGCGCGGCAGCGACGGTTATCAATGCCGTAGCCGGTCCGGCGTCGTCGGATCACGAAAAATCCATCAGCAGCAGACGGTCTTCGTCGTCTTCCACCGCCGAACCGCTGAGTTCGCCCATCGATCTGTCGTGTTCCGACTCGCAGACGTGTGTCAACCCAGCCGCGACAAYTAACTCAACAACCGTCAGCACCACCACCGCCAACTCCACTAACGCCACTAGTTCCGCAGACTTGGCGGTCGCCGACAAAGATGGCTCTCAACAATGGCCAGCCTGGGTGTACTGCACAAGATACTCGGATCGCCCTTCTTCCGGTAAGTGTTTTTTCTAGATGAATACTTCCTCCCTCCCACACCCACCAACAACCCATAAACTCAACCATACAACCATTCCATATATATTTCAGTTATTGATCATTCATGTTAGCCAACTGTGTTGGGAAACGTCACGATTTTCTATATCGTTATAATGCTGATGGTTATCAATACTATATTCTGTATGCAATAAAAAGGGTTATTTAATTGTAATTAAAGTCGTATAATGAGTCATTTCGTAAATTAATTGATTATTTATTATTAACAAATCTATATATCTAAGGCAACAGATAGATACGTGTATAATAGAACCGAAACAAGACATTATATCATTAAGATCGTACCTGACTAAAGAACCATGAAAAAAAAAATATATAGACGTTGTTAATAAAATCACAATAAAGCATGATGAATTCAAGGACAGATTGGCACACGAAAGAATGAAATGTAATGACATTAAATTAGTAAATCCGTCACAAACGTTTATCAATCCTGTATGAACCTGCTGTTATAAGATACTCTTACAATTTTTATATTGTTTCATAGAATAATGATAGTAATAATATATTATTATAACTTGGTTAAATCTTTTACAGGGTGTATTGATGATTCGTTAACGTATATTGTATTAATCTACACAATAAACTATATTTCATAATATGCGTAAATTCGCAGATTTAGTTGTTTTTATACATAAGATATTATGTATTATACAATAAATTACATTTTATATTTAACTAAAATATCAATCATGAAATTATGTAAATATACTGCGCATATCAAATCATAAATGATTTTATACATTTTAACTTCAAAAATATATTCGTTATAGTTTTTGAATTTTCCATAATTTCCGATATATCTCGTCGCAAAACAAACAAGCGGAATACTGTTTGTTTTACTATATAAAGGAGGTTAACCTCGTTGTCAGGTATAAATTATCCGGGGAAGTCGGTTGACCTTATTGCTAGATATAAATTACCCTCTCCTCTAACCCGATTGACAGTGAACTCTTGCGTAAGTTTCACAGAGGCTAGGGTAGGTGCATGCATGCGCAGACCGCTAATTGTGAATAATTTAAATGGTATCTYCAACAGGCCATGATCGTCCGAATGGATCACCCATAACTTAATACAGCATAATATTATTGCCGAGTTGTATAAAGTAGATCGTTATTCGAATTGACTGGTGAAGTATACGCACATTACAACGATTGAATAGTTTTACGAAATATTTAGTGATCTTAAATAGGATCTTTATAAGTCAGTTGAGCCATCTGTTGTGTAGTCAAGTTCTTGAGAGTCGCTCGCGGGCTAATATTAAAGCATATTAGTGAAGAACTGTTGTGTGTGTACTGTGCAGTTTACCTTACTATATGTATTGTGTGGTATATTATAAGCCATCCTGATTACTCTGATTCAAAGGTTATTGATTTGTATGATTGGCCAAAAATTAATAAGGACAAGTGYAAACAAACACATAAGCTTCTCTTATATCGTATTTTAAATCGGCTATGTCTAAAAATYTATTGAATCGAAACAAAAAATTCAAATGCAGAAGTTCTCAAAAAAATTGTTTCATAATTTTGTTGGTAGGTATTAAATATAAGTGTTACCATTTAAAAATACAAAGTTGATACATGTTTATCACWTAACAAATAATTTGAGAATCTTAAGAATAATAATTATACGAACATTTCATTAAATTTCAGCATTTCGAAATAATAAGTGTCTTACGTTAAATGGACCACCCTGTGTGTGTACATAATATAACATTATACATATTAGTGATTCATATCTCTATATGTAGAACTATTATTTCCCATCGGTATAACGCGCGTAGAGCCGTTACTGTGATACACAGCCCCATGGGTACTTCGACGTATGTTTGACATTTTTAGGACACATTATTATTAAACATGTAGTACCTACACAACGTTTCATTTTATTTTCCAACATTAGACCACAAATCACAATGCACACATACGAATACGATTATAAATTATTATACTATTCGGCCAACGGGAACACGTGCATATATTATAATATAATATAATAATAAAGGTGCAATGGCATTATTATACATTATGTAGGTACGTAGGTTATGGACAACGCACTCGCATAGTCGTTTATGTTTACTCGCGATTAACAATGCAAAACCATTGTTTGGACGATGATCAAGGAGCAGCGAACGTTTATAATCATTACGAAAATAAGATAAATATACAATATTATGTGTAAAGTTTGATACGTATGGTATAAACAATAGTATCCATATTATATTTTATGTGTGTATATATATATATATATATATGTTTGATATACTTAGACTTTCCCTACCCTAAGGGTATCTATTAACTTATAAGTTAGCTGATTTAATCAACAATGAAGTTATTTTTTTTTATGTTGACCTTTGCTAACCAGTCTAATAGTTAAAATGAATCGCAATACTTATATTATTTATCGGCGCAGTTTTCTGTTTGTGAAGACCTATATTAGACAAACCAACGAAACGAATGTGCGTCATATATTATATAATTTACTATTATCCAAATGATAATATATTGTAATACCATGCTCGTTCAGTCGTACCTATAATAAACGTGTTTTCGTGTAATAGCCTCACGAAAATATCGAGTCGCCGAGGCGTGCACCGTGAGGTTACAAACAAGTTCATTTAATGTAATTATAGTAGGCAAATGAGAACGACGACATTTGTCGAACGTCCAACTCGTCATATTAGTAGACGCATAATATTACAATACCCATTATAACTGTAGAAATTTAAGCGACGGTAAATATCTAATCATCGCTTGGCAATCACAATAGTGATTAATGCTTTCCCATGTTATACCTAATCAACGTGATCATGATCGGATAAACTGTAATCGACGTGCAACACGCAGGTGATCGTTTCGTATAAGTATATGCAATTGTTGTATATTTGTAAGCAAAATGTACCTTCTTCTAGAGTTCTAGACACACTTGTGCACTTTACTCGTTTATATAAATACAAATATTTCGAAAACTTTTCAAGATAAGGAAGTAATGGCCTAGTATACTATAATGTATATTTTATGCATATAATAAATTATTATAAACTCACTCATAAATTATACTACACATGGTGACGTACCGCCTATATTATATTTATTTCATGAAATAAACTAGAATTACATTTTGTTCGGTAAACGGAAACCTAAGATTTACTATTTGTTTTTGTTAATAATTTATAATTAATTTAATTACTAAGTATTTACTTTTTAACAAATCAACAAACTAAATCGACCAACATGCGCTGCACTCTTTGCGCAATTGAACTACAATAAATGCAAAAATAATATTAAAAAATGTTCATATTCGACATTCGTAAGCCTGATTTTTCATTGACCCTGTCGCCTCCTTCAGGAGAGGTTTCAAATTTGGTACAAGCATMACCATCAAGTTGCTCGATTCCAAGACATAAGTGTCAAATCAAGGTTAATTCTTCTGGGCCATTTTCAGGTTTTGTTACGGTAGCTACGACAGCAGCCTATGTAATATATTACAATGATGATAAAACACCGAGACGTCTGCACGATCGTACAAAATAAAAACGTCTTCCAGCGATTATACTATACCTATCTAATATATCATACCTATTAGGAACCAAACGAAAAATCTATTTTATGGCCGTCTGCGTCGAACGTCACACGACGAATGGTGATGGTACTATAGATTCCTATAAATATATATGACATATGTATATAGTTCTACGAATGACGTTGATTATATTTTTAATAAAAAATAGAATCGTACCTACTGATAAAATCCGCGCATATACATATTATCGAGATGAAACAACCAGCAGTAGTACCTGTAATATTAGATAGATATGACGTGTGACGTTTGCACATAAGTATGTTAATGACGGCAGTAGATAAGTAAAATAAACGAAATTAGACTCCCGATAGGACATAGGTTATGGTATTTACCAAAGCATATTTATGCTTTGTGAGTACCGGAATCGATTTGGTCGACATCGAATTAAAACGAGAGAAAAATAACCACGGGGGTCAACGGGGAAATTTAATAATTGTACATGCCACTGCTCCGCCCGTCAAGTCACTACGGACCAAGACTCGATACCGCACAGATTTTATGTGACATACTAACCGTGGAGAGACCTGTGTCACGGCGACGTTTCGAGATGATATTCCGGCAGAAGACCTCGAAAACTATAATTAAAATTGTTGAAAATTTTGTTGTTCGACCGCGTAAACATAAACTCCGTAAAAAAAAAAAACGTCGTACGTCCACGTGATGTATAGTTATGTTTAATATTATTATTATATATATAGATATTATTTATACTCATATAGATGTTTGGTGAACTCACGGTCGGCACTTGAGCATATTCGATCCATTGTGAGCGACCGCGAGTATAATTATTATTAATGTGTGGTTTAGACGGTTTCTAGAGGTCTCGAATCCGAATACCACGACCACTGTGGTAGCGGTATCCAGCGACGACGTACTTAGAGACGGTCAAACGGTATCGGCTCGAACACACACACACACACACACACACATGAAATATATACAACGAAAACATACTGTATAATATAATATTATACCTTCGGTATAATGTAATGTATAATAATATGTACCCCTTCCTATATGCGCGTGTGCGTGTGTGTCTGTCCGCGTCCGTCCGTGTCTCCGATCCGGTGCGCGTGTGCGAGTGTTACGCGCGTGAGCGCGCTACAAGTGATTGTCAGACCACCCAAACGCAATATTGGTTTTGGTTCATTCCGATTTCCATTAACCAGACCGAGATTTACCTACCGATCGCTCATTCATATGGATACGTATATTATATATTATGTATGTGTACACATTGGTATATTATAGCCGTCTCTGATGTGTGTGTGTGTGTGTGTAGGTACCACCGTATACAGCCGCAGTACTCTGCGCACCGCCACTGTTGCTGCTGCTGGACACTTGAAAATGATTTTTCTTTTTATATACATAATGAT